ATTACACGCATAGCAGTCGAAATTAAATACTTTCTGACATAAAATCAATTTTCACTAGGTTTTTGAATTTTTTCCAAGATAAATATAGCCTCTTTGGCGTGGTCGAAAACTTGTGCTTCTCTCACTTCCAATGGAAGCACAAGTTGGATGGAAGCCTTCCATTCACTTTTAAGGTTGCCAAACATCAAAAAAGAGGAAATGGACATGTCTCAGGACGTCCTGAACGATGATATGTTGACCAACCCCCCAAAAGAATATGTGAACACAGATAATAAGACATTTAGTATTTAGAAAGGTACAACTAACCATTTGGGTATGAGAACGAACAACGTTCTGATTTTTTTCCTGATTTCCAACTTGTTTTTCTGATTTTTGTCTGATTTTGAACTTTTTTTTCTCATTTCCGTCTTTTAGATCTGGGATCCCTGCGATGATCAGAAAAATGTACATAACTAGATAACTCGAAACAGTCCATTGACTAGTCAGATCAAATTTGATTTTTTGTAGAAACCTCTATCTTTAGTTCGAATTTGAAAACAGGCACTTTAGTACCTGCTGTATCCAGTTTTGCCGCAGCTGTTGTGATTTCAATAATTTTGGTTCTTGTACCGCATTAGCCTCTTATGAAACTTTCTAACCAGATACTTTTTCGGTTGGCAGTTATTACGATACAGACGACGGAAAAACATATACACTTGTTCAGCTGTCGTTGTATATGTTTGTTTAATGGATAGGACGGCGATATTCTGTAATATCAGGTGATTTGAACAATTATAACAAACTGACTCTGGCAGTGGCCAGCTTTCAAGACCATACCGTCAGTGTGCTGCTTGGCACAGCGGATGGAACCTTTCAGACTCAGACGCTCTATACGGTTGGTACCAGCTCATATTCTGTAACATCAGATGATTTCAACAATAATAAAAAATTGGATCCGGTAGTAGCAACAGATGGTCTGGGGATTTGTCTGTTTTTCTGAACATCTGTGACTAATTAATCAACAAACTCTCAATTTATTGACGTGTGAACTGGTTGTTAGTGATGCATTTGGAGTAACGATCAGCTGTAACAGAATATCATTTCTCTTATTCACTTTCTATTTTGATGTGTTACGAAACTGTAGTGTTAAAATGTATGCGTGCGAATTTAATTTCTTTTTCGTTTTTCTTTTAGCAATTTCCCGTTAGCTATGTATGTATTCCGGTTTTACTCTCGGTTTTAGTCTCTCATGTCTGTCAACAAGATTATGGTCACTTATGTGCTTGCTCGAAAATGACGTAATTAGAATAGAGTGGGAGTTATCCCGACAAAGTGGCGTTCGATGACAGGGAGGGGAAACGGGTCGGTCACCTGATAGCGTTATCACTTGCTGAGTGCGGTATTTCCCACCGATGATAACAATTGAAATGCGTCCACTAAGTAAGATAGTTTGTTTGGTTTTTGAATATAATACTCTGATCTCGGTAACAATCGTGAATGTGTTCATTGATTCCAGACAAAAATGTCGAAATTCATCCTATTCCGCTACTTAACGTTTGGTTCCATTTCGGAGAAACGCAAAAGAGACTGAATATCGCGTATACTTCAGAGAGCAATGGCAAGAAAATTGGCAAAAAGAAATATGACACCCGTTCTACAGGATGTGTCGCCGTTCGCCAATTCAACTTTCGCCAATGTTCCCCAGTAGACATTCGCCAATCGACCAATTGGCGAATGTCGAGGGGACATTCGCCATAACTGGTGAATGTCGTGCGGACACTCTCACTCACACTCTCGCACACACATATACTGAGGACAGGTACTGGCGACTGTCGCCGAGACATTCGCCACAATTGGCGAATGTCGTGTGAGCAATGGCGAATGTCGTGTGAACAATGGTGAATGTCAACACGACATTCACCATAACTGGCGAATGTCAATCACGACATTCGCCAGTCGCCAGTATCGCGAATGTCTATTGCCGAAAGTTGAATTGGCGAAATGCGACTTTACCGTTCTACATTTCATTCGTTGCTCGAGAACCCGAATAGCGAAACAATGTTCTGTCTGCTCCCCTCAGATTCGCTGCTTTGCAGAAAAGTTGAAATAAGATAGCTAGTTGCGCGAATCCGCCGCTGAAGCTATTAATAAATAGCTTAAGTGGCACAGGTGAAGCAAGCCAAAAAAATAGGCATTTAGCACCTGCGCGATCTTTGCAAAAGACTAGTGACAAGAATGCGGGATTCGTTTTTTACATAATTTTATTTAATAATCGTATTATCACGTCACCAGTACAATTGTTTTGACCCAGTCATTGATTAAATAACTACTTTCGCGTCTCTTGTTTGCTTGTGAACTCTATCGTATGACTGGACCTACTTTGTTGTACATATTGTAAAATAACCTGTGTATACTTTATTGTCATTTTTTTGCGAACGAAAGAGTTAAAATCACCTGATATTACAGAACATGGGCCTCTGCCAACCGTATAGATCGTTTGAGACTGAAAGGTTCTCTCCCCTTTGACAAGTAGCACACTGACGGCATTATCGCTGTGAGAGCCAACGCGCTCTCCGATTCTAATGTGTTCAATAGCACACTTTTGGTTTTTCGGTTTTTGTTTCACTCTTTCAAAAACATAACTACACACTAATATATGATGGATAAAAATGCCATCGAATGTCTAATTCTCTGTCGATAACTGTATATAGACGATCACGAAAAACAAGAATAAAAAGAAATGAATGAACAGTGACCAAAACATTGACTACAACAGTGATGTACATATCCAAACTGGTCAGGAATGAAAAGAAATGAAAATGGATATGTATATTGTCCATGCGGGAAGAATGGCGAAGGGAACGTGACTAACATGTGATGATGTATGTGAAAAGCCTAGTCTGTAATAACATGCCGCTTTATAAAAATGAGTCCTTACATATGACACTAAATAAAGTATGAAATCTGAAAAACTGGAAAAGTAAGTCAAAAATCGTACATATAAAATTTGTGTAGATGAGAAAACATGTATACTGAGTTGGTGAAGAGAAACAACATAGAGTACAACATAAGCCGTACTGGTTCTTTGAAAATAATAATACTCGAATAGAAGAAAAAACTGAGACACTTGCTGATATAGAAAATTGCAATATTTCCTACTGTTATCTCATATATGTGTCCATGTATGCATGTAGCGAAGACGACTCTCAATGTTCATATCTTCGTTTGGTTATCTGGTCACGATCAGAATATGGTCCTGTTGTTCGGTATGTGCTTGATGATGTTGTTGTTAAATGATTATAATGAGGACGCTGCTGTTGAGAATGTAATTGACCATAATGTTGGGTTGTAAATATTCTGTTCGGATCTAACATATTATCAACTTGTTGCTGCTGTTGTCCTTTATTGTACATTCCCAAATGTAACTTTCCTGCTTGTATTTTCGTTTTTCATGGTTGAATACCCATTCCAAATAAAATTTCTTTGCATTCTGGTGCTGTGAATCTTGATCCACTTGACGAATCATACAAATGGTATAATTCTGCTTTCAATAACTCCGGTTCCCTTTTTTATTTCGACGTTTTTTTTGCTTTTATGTCCTTGGTTTTTTTAATTTCGTTGTGACGATTAGTTTCTCGATCTTTTTCCCTATTGATGAGAGACCTCTAGCACAATGTTTGTCGAATAATATGGCCGTTCGTTGTGCTTGTTCCATATTTTCGTTTTCACGATCTCCGGATGCATATTGTGCTTCTCATCAGTTTGTTCAACTTGTATACGCTCACTATAGGAGACTTGTTCATACTCTTCTGGATTATGCCGAAATCTTTCACTGAGTATTGGCACCAGATCGAAAGTTGTTGACGTAGTCGGCTCCAGCTGTCCATTTATACGATCAGCCAGTTCATCAGTTTGTTCAACTTGTATACGTGACTGTATAGACGAAAAATCGTTAGTCGTCCGTCCATCTACACGGTCACCCGTATCTTCATGTTGTATATTCGTATTAGACAATAGCTGACATTGTTCCGGCTCATTTTTTTTGCATCACCTGATGTATATATTCCTGTACATATGACTCCCATTTCTGTGTATAATTTTGACCAACTTCTTATATTGTCCAACTATTCTTAACTGCAAACAACATGAAGATACGGGTGACCGTGTGAGGGTGAAGATGATGATGGTAATGATATTGGTAAGCCTTGCTAATATATGATTGTTTGTGTTTTATATCTGATTGAACGATTTTTTGTTTTTTGCAAGTTTTTATTTATAATAAGAGGTAAAAAAAAAAAAAAAAAGTTATGTGAGTCAGAATGACCCCAAAGAAAACGTGAGATAAGAAATAAGAAAAAAAATTA